TAGGGATGGTTGGCTTAATTGGGTAACTAATTGGTTTTATATAATCTTATATGGTGAGATTTAAAAGTATACTTTCATGTCTATTAATGTGATAAAAATTCAAAAGTATTATTCATTCAAATCTACTACCAAAAAAAAAACTAAAGAAGTATTCATTTTAGATTTAACGATATTAAAATATTTTTAAGTTGTTAACAAACAAAGAGAAAAGGAAAGGAAATGAGGATGATATTCCCTTATTATTAGCCATATTATCATATTTTTGTTATGCAGTCTTGATTATTTTTGGCTACATAAGGGATGCTTTGAGAAAATATGGCTTTGAAAAACAATTAATGTATGACAAAGATACAAAAGTAATAAAAGAATTTAAATTATTTTATATTTTACAGTAATAAATATATCACTGAGGATCATACAGCATGGCCTTGTCAATAAAGTCTTTTAAAATTGCTAAGAAAACAGAAAAAAACTTTTTTAATTAATTTTCTAATATATGCCATTACATAAAAAAACTTATATTGGTTGTTATTGAGAATATGAACTGTAGGTAATAGAATATAGAAATAAATACTGACATATATTGAAAAAGTCAGTTACAAAATCTTGAAATTTTATTTATTCTTAATTTTTAAATTGACAACAATTTTGAAATATTTATTATTGAAATTAAACATGTGATTTAATAAAAAATTATAAACAAAATTATTTTCAAGTATTTTATGTAATGTATAATATATTTTTTAATCTACATTATTAATATAATTAAATTTTACTTATTATACTTTGATTATCTGACTTACAAAAATACATAGATGTCTATATTTGATATATTTATTTTATAAAATACAATATAAATTAATTTTATTGAGTAAAAATAAAAATTTTATTTATCGATATTGTTGATTCAAAGCTCTTTAGACATAGATATTATATTCTTTTTGATTATTATTTAATATAAATTTTAATGTTCATGAAAAATTATGTTTTTAAATTTGATATTTTTTTTATCTTATTTGTAATACTAATTGAATAAATTAATATACCATTGTTGATTCGATTAATATCTATTTAATTATACTAAGAAAATCTATATCCTGTTAACATTATTTTGCCTAACAAATAAGTTGCTGTCTCACCATTTGGTTCTTCATTAGTCATTATCAGAGATCTACAAAGCTTGGTTCAGCCTAGAGGCCTGTAAAGTGAATTTTTGTGGCCCAAGTCCCAATTTAAATTTTTTGTCCTTGATGAGCATACATTTTTAGATCTAACCAAACACCAGCCCAACAGAAATTTTTTTTATTATTTGAGTTTAAATATTATAATATCTAAGAAATAATTAAAAACTATATGTATATATTCACATATTGCTATCTAAAATAAAAGCATACCCCCATAATTTGATAAATATTTTCATATAAAGTTGCATTTTATTTAATTTGTAGACATATAAATTATATTCAAATATGAAAAGTAATCGAATTTAAAAATTATTGTGATTACATAAAAATAATTTGTATGATTGATGTCGAAAAATTTGATATAATTGTTTATATAGGGAAAAAAATTTCTAAAAATATAATAATGAACATATTAAAAAGACATCCTGATCAACATTTTTGTGAAACATTTATTATTATTAAGGATATTTGTATTTTTAATATTTATTTGTTCAACTTCGGGTCAAAAACTGCCAAATTAAAAAATAAAAAATAGGTGGAAATCTTTATTAAACACTATTTAAGTAAATGTATTATATATTAATAATACAGATTCAATTATTCATCTCATTTATCAATTAATTCATTCATTTTTTCAAATATCTTATATCATGCACAATATTTATAGACAATAAATATATCTGTAATAAATTCTCATTAGTATTTAATTTTTCTAAAATAAAAAAAGGACTAAATTTTAGGTCCATAGGTTTTTTTTCCACGGTTTTTTTTCCACAGTTTTTTTTCCAACTACCGAGTTGGACACATTTTAAAACCAAGACCTGAGCCTGAGGAAAATTTTTTCAATGTCCATCGGGTTGGGCTTGAGACAGTCGGTGTCGACCTCTAACCCAACTCACAGGCTGAACAGGAAAATTGAAACAAATATTTAATGGACCAGGTCAAGCAATTTATACATAAAAAATCAGGCAGGGCTTTACAAATTCTTGATTTTTTGTATATAGACATCCAGGCATTAAAACTTTATGATAAATTTTTTTTATAATATTTATTTATTTTTAACAATAATTGATTTTTCAAATTTTGATTAGATAAACGAGAATGCTTAGTGCTCAACACAGCTTTCATTGTGCCAAGCACACCTTCAGCTGGCGCAGATGATGAGAGAGTTGTATCAAATCACATCTTTCATTGTGCTGCGAGAGGGTTGTATTGTATTTAATAAATAAAAATATTAATTGGAGAAATTTTAAAAAAAAAAAGAATCTTCACGATAATCTTCATTTCAGATCCTCCGTCAATTTTTTTTTTTAAATTTGAGCTGTTGGAGAGGTTGAAATATTTTAATTACGACAGTCTACACTGTGATCATATAGCGCCTTGTGCTCAAACACAGCTTCCATTGTGCTAAACACACCTTCAACTGGCGCAGATGATGGGAGGGTTGTATTCAGGGATGTGAGTTCGAGAATTTTAAAAATTACGGAAACTAAATAAAAACCAATTTTCCTAAAAATAGGTCCGAACCTGCCCCGGGTCATTTTACCCTGGGTTTAATGAGTTGTCCTTTACTCTGTCTCCGTTTGCTTCGTGGTTTCAAAATGCTTAACCAAAATAATTTTAAATTACTTGAACCCGGGTTCGGGCTTGCATCCCTGGCTTGTATTATATTTAAAAAAAAAATTTTTGATAGGGTTATACCTGCCCCGGGATAAAACTATTCTTCGGTCTGCAAGCTCCGGCCAGGTTCGGCCCGTTCACATCCCTGGCTTGTATTATATTTAAAAAAAAATTACATCATCTTCGCAAGAATCTTCATTTCGGATCTTCATCAATTTTTTTTTGAAATCTAAATTCATATTTCTACCTTCACATCTTTTATTTAGATTTCGAGCTGCTGGAGAGGTTGAAATATTATGATGCAGTCTACAATTAGAAGGTGTAAAAGCGCCCTTAATTTTATTTATTGGTGTAAAAAATGTTTGATACTGGGACCAGGGCAGGGTTAATTCATCTTTCACCCTGATATAGAAATGTATATTTTTTGTTGACACTTGTGTCATAATGTAGTCAATCGACTTTATAAAATTAAACAAATAAGAACTTTGGTAGTTTTATCTGAAATTTAAAAACTTGGCTTAAAATTATTTTTAAAAAATATATATATAATGTTAAAATAAAATAAAAAAAATATTTTTTTTTAGAAAGGATTTAAAGTAACGAGTAACTTTACGCGGAGAAAGAGAAACGCGTTGCTAGTTACTCGTTACCTTTCGAAATAAATAACGAATAGCATTTTTTATCAGAAAAGTAACGCTGTTAGTAACCACATCGACGTTATTTTATAGCAACTAGTTAATAAACACAACTTAATGTAATAATGTTCGAGTTTGATTTTGAAAGAGTTTATTTATTGATTGCTCAAATTTTTAGTTTTTTTTTATATTTACAATCTAGTTAAATTACGTCAAATCTAAAAACTTGTAACTAAAACTTCTTAAATTTTTTCAGAGTTGTTAAAAGATACTTTTTAAATGGATCTAGATACAGATACATTGTCTAAAATAATATCTAGATACGGATATTTTAATCAAAAATCTATCTAGATATAGATACCACATTTTTATATCTAGATACATGATCTATCTAGAGACTTGTATCTAGATCCTTTAACAACTCTGAATTTTTTAGAACCCCCATAAACCTTTTTAATCTAGATTTTTTTTCCAAATTCTGATTCAAATATTATTTAGGCCGTTTTTTTAGAAGCCGCCTTAATTTTAAAAAAAATTTAAAACGAGTGAATTTTTGCGGAAGTAAGATGAAATGTAATTTTGTTTAGAAACAGAAATAAATTTATTTACATATATTTTTAGAAGAAAAAAATCACATTTTTTAAAATTATGTGGAACTAATAAAATGATTTTTAAAATATATTATTACAAAGTAACTTTTAAAAAAAAAAATGTATCGATTTTATAAATTTATTGTCCTCTTTCAGTTTCGAAGAAAAGAAGAGAAAGAGAGAGCTCAAGGTTTTATTTTAAAAAAAGTATAACCTCAAAAAGGGGACAACTTTATAGCCTGGGCGTATTATAAATTTTTTAAATACTGTTTATTTTGTTGATTGATTTTAAAAAAAATAAAATAAATAATTTGAAGGATTTTGTGCCTTTGTACTCAAATTTCGAAGGTTTTTTTACCAGAAACGTCTATCTTCGTTGCAGGGATGCCGTATCTCAACCCATATGCAGTACTCCCGGTGTTAGAATTAAATATTTAGAGCGAGTCAGCCATGACGAAAACTATACATTCCAGTAATAGTTCATTTTTATTTTAATGAGACCTGCGAATTCCCCAAAATTACACAAGGCTAACCTGGTTTTGTATAAAAAAAATTAAAAATTATTTTCCTGTTTGGCCTGAGCCTGGAATTTTAATCTCCTCTTTGTGGCCCCTAAGTTAATTTAGCTTCTGTTTTTTTGAAAAAAAAAATAATAAATATCTCATTTCATTCTCATAAACTAATGATGTGATTTGTGTAATACAATTATAGATACACGGGGAAGATCTTAGAGGCAATAAATTTCGGCTCTTACAATTATCTGGGCTTTGCCGAGAATTCTGGCATATGTGTTGATCGGGTAGAGGAAGTCATATCAATGCACGGTATGGGCATCTGCGGTTCCAGAAAAGAAATCGGTTGATTGATTGACATTCTCTTTCTCGCAAATTTGACTTGTTTATACGTATAGATATAATATAATCAGTTTAAGCTAGTAAAAAAAAATTTATCCCCTCAACATAACCTTTCGCCTATATAATAGAAAAATGCCATTAAATTTTTTTTTTTTTTATAAATAAGAATTTTATAGAAAAATAAATGTAAACTGGTCAAGCCCTCCCCACCCCCCCCCCCCAGTAAAATTTTAACATCTCTGGTTGTGCACTAGAGCAACCGCATAGCACCTATCTTTTCACGTCCAACCTTATCTGAGAAGAAAGAGAAAAAAAATTGTCCGAACAATCCAATCCGGGTATCATTAAGGTAGAGATTTGCAAAAGTCTCTGGTCGGGTTTAATATTTTTTATGAAAATTCGGGCCGGGTCGGGCCGGTTTTTAAAAAAATCTCGGGTTCGGGCCGGCTTTCCGATTTTTTATTCGAAGCGGAAAAATTCTAAGCGATTTTTTTTTGTTGTTATTCTCGAAAATAATATTTGTATAAAAATATTGGGAAAATGAAATAAATTAAAAAAATTCGACAAGGTCCATATTCAACCCGAAATAAGTATCCGTATTCGAGAGAATGGTCGAATCGGATTTGTATCTGTATCTGCAGGATCTTATTTTATTTTTTATAAATTGTTAAAAACGAATCGAATTAACTTTAAATAATATATATATATATAAATTTAAATGAACATCAACCTATGTTTGAACAACAAAAAAAATATCTTAGCATTGTAATGTTCCTATTTTCAAAAATGGTACTCTAATATAATTATTGAAAAGGCTAGAAAGTTTACCAACCATAATTATAGGTGCTTTAAATTGATTTTAGGATTTTTTATTAAGTCAAAGTTTATTTTTAAAAATTATTTGAATTTTTATGACTTAATCTGTGAAATAGCTGGGCACTGATACGAATCGAACTTCTTAGATTCACGATTTGCATTCAGCGTTAGAGCAATTTATATATTTAGTAGGGTCATCATTGTTATTTATATCTAATTTAATAAAGGTATATCAGTCATACAAGAAAAATTAGAGAGATTGACGGCCAAATTTTTGGGCGTCGAAGATGCGATAGCATTTCCTATGGGTTTCGCCACTAATTCCACCAACATTCCATGCATCGTGGGCAAGGTTTTCCTCGTTAATTCCTATGAAATTATACATCGCTATTCGAATTATAATTAATTATATCGTATCGTTTAAGAGCCGTACGTTATTTTTTAAAAAGTAACGTCGTACGTTACATTTAAGTTGAATTATTGATAATTAATCCCCTAAACATGGTCACAATTAAAAAGTGAAATGTTTTAATTTGGCCCGTTGCTATTCGTTTACCTTGATTTTTTTTTTGTTAGACCAAAAGAGTCATTCCCCAAAATGAGAAAATTTATTCGAACCACGATGGGTATAAATGTCAGACTGCGGAGGTATCGATTTCACGGGCCGGACCGGATTTTTAAAAAAATGTCAGTCCCGGTTTTGGGTGTTTGAAAATAATATAGATATGAGAAGTGAATGACTGCGAAATATTATTCTAATACAACAATGAATGGCGATTTAAAATATTTGGCTCGGCCCGGATTTATCGGAATTTTACGACCCGGGTCTGCAGACCTCCGATAAATATATTGTCGGCTATATATGAGTATTTTTTGGGGGGATTTTCCTTTTTTTTCCCACTAGATACCTAATTATGGGGGCGAAAATGTATATACATGTAAACTCCGCATACATGTGTTTGCCCATATTCCAGGGGGGGGGGGGGTTAATGTATACCCATCAGGTTACGAGTTATTGATAACGAAAAGGAACATTGGCTTCGAATAATGAATTTTGGGTTGTTTTATTAATTAATTTCGTGCCTTATACCACCCCGTATCTTTTTCAGATAGATATATTTAAGCCTAGCCTGATAGCCAAACATATCTAAATTCCTTATTTTGTCGAGAGATATTCATTTTACATAACCTGGATAAATTTTTAACCATTTGTGATTCTGGTTTATCCATTGCCGATGAACGAACGTTAGTAAGCAAACTGTATCATTGCAGAGTAGATAATCGATGGCACTTGACACAGCGGCATCTTTTTATCAGATCAGAGTCTATAAATTGTGTCAAAGGATGTTTTAGCGGACCAGCTTGATGGGGATTGTTTAATATGATGTTCTCAAAAAAAGTAATTAATTTAAGAAATGAAATTTTTTATTTTTGTTAATAAAAAGAGGGAAATAAATGAAACTATTGAAATGGGAGTAACAGCCAAGTCTGCCGGAATTCGTTGGGAGGGTGGTTTTGTAAGCCAGCTGTGTTGACCAATTCTTAAGCATCGATTAAAAAATTTCTCTATATTTTTGGAAGTATAGAAGGGAATCGGCATCTTATGATATAAAGCAGGATTGTATTAGCGCCTGATGGTAAGACATATGCTTGAGAATGTTTTCTCTTGAATTATGTCTAAAAATATTTGAATGCCTGTAGACCTTCCTTTTGGTGGCCCGAAAACGAAGATTTTTATCTTTAATCACACAAGTTAAAAAGATCGATAAGGAAAGAAACATTTGTAGTTGTATCCATTTCACATTTTTTTTTGTAATTTAAAATGATGAATTTAGTGGTTAGAAATTAAAAATGATGATATCTGCAGCTTTAATTATTTCACTGTTGGGGTCCTATAATATGGCATCATCCTGAATACCATACATTGAGGACGAGATTACAATTAGAAAGCCGCAAAGCTCGCCTCCTCTTGGGGTCAGAATTAGCTTTGGTTTGGAGCATGGACTATATGATTTTGGTTAGGGCTATGGTATAAAAAAACATCTGTTTTTATGGCTACGCAGAATAAAGGCGAACCGTGAATTCCCCCTGCTGTATTTTTTGTGCTGATGGAATAGTTTGTTTCCATATGGTAATATAGTTTGGAACCGTAGCTTGACTGGATATAGTTGAAATAAATTTGAAATAAACTTCTAAAAAAGCTTTGGATCGTGAAATTACGTTTTAAAGTATTGAAAGGTTTTTTTAAAAAAATAATTTGGTTCGGGGCTGGGTGTTGCCTAATATTATTTTTTTTTAAAAAAAATTCGGGCCGGGTAGGGTTTAAATTTATAAATAAGATATTAAATATCGCTATAAAAAAATATGAAGATAATATTTTTTTTGTCCTTATAGAAATATAATTTTACAAAATCAAAAAAAAAAAAATATTATTAATTTTTCTATATTCGAATAAATCCGGCCCGACCGGGCGGATATCTTTATTTTTATTTCGGGTCGAGCTTTTGGGACATAAAATATTTAGTTCGGATTCGGGCTGGGCAGGACATTTTTCGAAAAATTTCGAACCGGGCTTGAAAAATTAGGCCCGACGCGGATCACTAATTGAAGGTTCTTTTATGTCGAGTATGACGAATGCGTATTCTGAAACGAAGATATCCAGAGTTATTTCTTGCTGTGTGTGACTTGTTTTACAGCTTCCTTTTTATGCCAAACCCTAATTAGTTTAGAGGGAGCAATTTGATAAGGATTTATTTTTAATGTTTGCATATAATTTTTGAGATAATCCTCCTTCCTATAACTTCCCCTATAGCTATTAAGCATATGTCTCTATCTTGCTTCTATAAGGCGATCAATCTAGCTCTAATAATAGTGGAATTAATGGATAGCCCATTAACTATTAAGTTATAAAGATCGGTTAATGCCTGCAATAGGATCAGAGAGCAAGAATTATCTATATTTATAAGATTTCATTGTATAATCTAGAATTTACTACATAAAAACTTACTCATATTTCAGGTCGTAAAACCTCTGAGACTACCTTTTAATTTCTAAAAAATGAATAATCTACCTTTTTTTTAATACTATCATATCAGCACCAATTCTCATCAGATGATATCAAGAAAATCACCAATCGACATAGTAAATTTTAGAAAATCCGCATTGCAAAAATTATAAGCTGTGCTCATTTCTCAAAATTTTAGAGACATCACATGTCAATTCAATGAGCGATATTACGGGGCTGAGAGCTACTGTTGTTAACAGCTAGCCATGTTTTTAATCCGAAAAATATTCCAATTAATCTTCAAGTGAGACTCAACTTGTAGGCTTAGTTTAACTTTTTAAGGCTAAAAGCCGAGATGATGGGCAAGTTAAGATGATTTAACAACACTGATGAGAGCTGGTGATATTTTCTCCTATGTTTTGAAATTTTTACTTTGTTTTTTAATTATGTCTATTATGATTATTTTTCTCTTTTTAATCCCCCTCTCCTTTTTAGGGTTGCCTTATTTTAAGCGATAAATTGAATCACGCATCCATCGCTTTAGGTTGTCGATTATCGGGGGCCGTTATAAAGACTTTTGAACACAATGGTTGGGTTACTTATATAAAATCATGTTAAATTTTTTACTTTTTTTTCTTCTTTATAACTAGAAGTAATGACATTAAAATATCTTAGTATATATATAGACTAATGATTCATTCATTAAAATGTTTAAAAAAAGTATACATATATAGGAATCAACTATTATATTATTTTATGGCTCGCACTTTGACTAATTTATATTGTCATTTAGTCTACTTCCAGATCCAAAAATAGTGTCTTCAGCTGATTAATATATTCGTACATTTTTAATGAATAAACCGTCAATCTAGGTTAGTATATATATATATATATATATCAGAGTTGTTAAAAGATACTTTTTAAATGGATCTAGATACAGATACAACGTCTAAAATAATATCTAGATACAGATTATTTAATCAAAAATCTATCTAGATACAGATACCACATTTTTATATCTGGATACTTGTATCTAGATCCTTTAACAACTCTGATATATGTCGTATTTGGGATATGGAATCATGTAGGATTCGTTTATTCGGAACTTCTTTTTTTTTTAAATATTTAAAACCCACGGGAATTCGGAATATATTTTTTTAAAACAATTAAATAATATAATTTTTTTCTTCCTTTTTTGCCGCCTGGCTGGCACCAGAAAATTTTATTTTTTTAGAGATATTTTGTTAAAATAAATAAATTGTATAAATTATCAAAAAAAAAGATAAGAGAATGTTTAAAAAAGTAAATATAGTATAAAATTAAGGCATATAATGAAGGAAAGGGAATAAGGTTAAAAGACATTTTTTTTTGTAAATTTATATGAAATTATAAATATTTTCACCAATGAATATAATATTATTTTAAAAATAAAATCCGAATTAAAAAAAAATTATTTATTTATTGCAACAATTATTCAATGCGATATGACGTTTCGTTGAACATTGGATGTTGTTCTTGGAACACTCACTCCTTTTATTCATGCAACCCATCTTGCAATCGCACTACGATGTTTTCCCATATTTCGTGACATTCGTGGGAAGATCCTAAATTTTTTTTTAAAGCAGTTTAGATAAAAAAAAAAATTAATATATTTTTATGTACATGAATTAATATTGAGGAGTATATGTGGTTACTATAAAAATAGCTTAAATTACCTATTGGGGGAACTTCGGCATCATTTAATTTTATAGTTTCCTATAGACCAGAGGCAAATAAATGGTGCCGAAATTCTTCCAGCGCAACCTACCCCTATTTTATTTTGTTCAATCTTTAATCCCTTCCCTTCTAAATTATTAGGCATAATAAAAAAACTACTCAGAGACCATAAGAGGTACAATTAGCCCCGGCCCGGATTTTTTTTTTTAAAAAAAATTAAAATACGACATGACCCGCATATATCCGACCCGGACCACGTTCAGGACCGGATTTGCCGGTCTCCGAAATAACCGGTATGAATTATCGATAAATTTAATTTTATATATATAAATTAGTAATTTGTATTGGGCCAGATTTTTTTTTTATCATAGAATATCTAAATTATTACATTTTAAAAAATTTTTATATTAATACAATTATTTTCATATTTACTATTTATTAGAAAAATTAAGACGAATTTTATTTTAAAATGAAAATATTGGTAATAGAGAAGAAAAAACGCATTTGGAAATTTCACTCTCACGAGAACAATTATAATATTTAAAAAAATGGCTTTAAATAATTTTATTTTGTAAGCCACTTATTAATGCAATTCTGCAAGACAGAGATAAATGTATACAGTTAAAGTATTGTTTACAATTATTATTTTGACTATATTTCATTTCTATTGAATATATATTATAAGCAATAATTAACCAGCTATTTAAATCAGATCGACTTTTATAAAACTAGATCTCAGCGAAGGAAGGAAGCCAAAACAGTTACAGAATATAATTTATATAAAACCATATTAAAAAAAACACCCAAAATACAAATCTACTCAAAATATAACCGCAGTAAATGTGGATTTAATATTTTTAAGGATTCCATCAATTCCTTTTTATATCGTTTACCGATGAGGAAAATTATGCGATAGCTATATACGTTGCTAACAAAATAGCAGAGTTGTTAAAGGATCTATATCTTGATCCTGTATCTAGATATAAAAATGTGGTATCTGTATCTAGATAGATTTTTGATTAAAATACCGGTATCTAGATATTATTTTAGACGATGTATCTATATCTAGATATTATTTTAGACGATGTATTTGTATCTAGATCCATTTAAAAAGTATCTTTTAACAACTCTGCAAAATAGCGAAGGTTTCAATCGACGATTCGCGCTTTCGAATTGTCCATAATATTACTAAGTGGTCCTTGTTCAAAAAATGTTGACCATTAAATCACGTGGAAAACTAATATTTTAAAAAGGGCCCTTTCTTTGATTTATTCTCAGATAATTGGACAAAATAACTTTACTTCTTAGGTCATCACTTGTGTTATTACCTTTCCATTAAAAATTTTAGAAAGGAAAATATTAAAAATTGAACAAAATAAAATATGGGTAGGGTTGTGCTGGAAGAATTTCAGCACCATTTATTGCCTCTGGTCTATATAAAAATTAAAAAAAATTAAATGATAAGTTCCCAATAAAGATGTATCAATCATAGGTAATTTAAGCTTTTTTTTATTATAACCAACCACATATACTCCTTAAATTAATTCATGTACATAAAATATATTAATTTTTTATCTTTAGGAGCTTCCCCGAATGTCACAAAATATGGGAAAACATCGTAGTGCGATTGCAAGATGGGTTGCATGAATAAAAGGAGTGAGTGTTCCAAGAACAATATCAAATGTTCAACGAAATGTCATATAGCGGTTGAATAATTGTTGCAATAAATAAAAAAAAATTTAAATAATATATATTCATGTGAAAATATTTATGATTTTATGTAATTTTATACTATTTATTTTAACAAAATATCTCTAAAAAAAAAATTTCCTGCTGCTATCCAGGCGGCAAAGGTGGAAGGAAAAAAAAATAATTTAATTGTTTTTTAATAAAAATTCCTAATAAAACGTGGAGATTCAAGATCTCGAATTCCCACGTTAGGATTTCGAATCCCACATGATTCCATATCCCAATTACGACACACACTTGTATATTATGATTGGGAGAAAAGTAAGGACGAAAAAAATTATAATCGCACCTTTATGGTTTTCAACTTGGATTGTTTAACAAGCATTGTTCCGCCAATAATTCTCATGTGATTGTGCTATTTTTGCTAACATTTCATATGTCTTTAAACTAGAACTGTCAGATGGTCATTTGCATGATACCCTTCTAGCCATTAAAATATAACTCTAAGAAGAATTTATTGGTGAGATAGGGTGTGCTTGAGCTGCGAGTTGACTATTCTAATTTGGCGTGATATGAAAAATAACTTCGACTCAGTGTATTCAATTTAGATAACTTTATTTACGAAATAATGCATTTCATACATATTTCGAAAGTATTAATGTTTACTAAATACCCCAATCGGTTTATGGCATGTAGACCTATTGGTTTAATCTGTACAAATGAGCCTACAAACAAATATCGTAGCCAAGTGGCCGATGACTGACTATGCGATGTCAGGATAATGCTACACTGGTCAGAAAATAACAGAGTTGTTAAAAGATACTTTTTAAATGGATCTAGATACAGATACCACATTTTTATATCTAGATCCTTTAACAACTATGGAAAATAACAACGTAAAAATCATTTCCACTCAATTTTTTAAGAATATAACCCCATTAGTAAACTTTTTTGTTCGAACGAACATAATATTAAACGCCGATCATCTTTTTGACGAAATAAAGCAAACATATGGCCTTTTTTTTAATATCCCCTGCCAACATCTGAAATATTGACAGCTGATGTAAGTAATTCATAATCACGAGGGAATTATGGGTGTAAAATCTTTTTTTTTGCCATCTAAAACAAAAATTAGGTTAAAACGGGGTAATTGTAATTGTTTCGCCGATAAATTTTTTTTAACAATTCTTATCTTTTTCATAGCATATATCCGTTTTCCTTGCGGTTGATTTTAGAAAAAATGTTTTAATTTTTAGATTATTATTTTCTGTTATAATGATGTACAAAAATATTTATCGTGGGTGATTCCATTCCACGTCAAATCGACCAAAAAAACGAGATTTTTCGGCCGACCATCTCAAAAATGAATGAAACTTGGCATGTTAGTTATTTATGTTGTAAATATCTTAATAAAATAAATTTTAGAGTGCCAGCTCAACCAGATCCAAAGATATACGCCTTCAAAGTCGAAAATTGCGAAGTGCGTGAATTCATTAAATCTTGTTATTTTAAAAAATATTTAAAATAGAGTTACAAATTATATATAGTTTTATAGCCCTTAAAATTTTACGTTTGAAAATATTTTAAAAAAAATTAAAAAATTTCAAATGTTTTCTTATTTCCGGTAAAAATAAAAAATTACACATTGTTAGGAAGAGATTTTTTTTGGGTGTTAATATTCACTAAAAATGTTTATTACCTTTATATTAAACGATTTAATAAAGAATCTCTATATCCATTTTTGTTTTTTTAATTTATTTTGAATTTTTATAAATAAAATAATGTAATATAGATGGCGTTATAATAATTTTTCTTCATATTATGTAATTTTTAATTAAAATATCAATAGTATTGTGATTAAAATTAAAAAATCGATTTAGTATAACCAAGAATGATGCCCTGGGGCGATATGTAAACAGGCAGCCCACACATATTATTTCATTGTCGCTATATTGTAAAATAAACATATTTTAAAATTTTATATTCAAACTATGATCATTTTGCACTTATTAATAGAAATTCCTAAGGCCATAATTTGTAGATATATCCTTTCATTGTTGTGGATCTACTATCGTTATTATTTAAAAATAGTGATTTTATCAGCTTATTTTATTTTTTTATTCCCTATCATCGCTACCAAATCAATCATCATATATTTCAAAACTTAAACATTTTTTTTACAACCAAATGAATTTATGATAATTTGTGATTTCTCTGAAAATTATGCATTTATAATTCAAGACACTGTCAAGGATTCCATTGGAATATTAATCAAGCCACTATCCATCCTATGATAGCATATTATAATAATAAGGGCAATATAGAAAACCTTAATTATATGGTAATGTCAGAGTCACTTCAGCGTAATGTTATTGCAGTACTATACTAGACGAAAATGATAAAATTTAAAATTCAGCAAAAAGCCAAACAAAATATATTAATGTTCTGACGAATCAGCTGCGCAATATAAAAACAGAATTTTTTTTATAAATCTGTGTTATCATGAATCTGATTTTGGTGTAGCAGCTGAATGGCATTTTTCAGCTACATCCCATGGAAAAGGTCCATGTCACGGGTTTGGCGGAACATTAAAAAGATTAGCAGCGCGTTCAAGCCTTCAGCGCATCAGTTCTGGACATATTTTAACGCCGGTTGATTTATATCAATTTACAAAACAAAACATGCCATCAGTAAATTTTACATATATAACCAACGAATGATACAATTTACAAGAGACTAAACTTCGAGAAAGATTATTTAGCTCGTCTTATTCCAGGAACTTCCTTTGAGTTTAAAACTTAAATCAAAAAGATATTCATATGCAGAGGACTTTCAAATTAACAATATCTCAAATGCCGATAATTTGTCTTTTGCCTATATTAAAGGATTCGTAACATGTGTTTATGACGATTTTTGGTGGTTAGCCACAGTACTAAAAAAAGATTGAAATTACTGAGGAGATATAAATTTCCTTTTTACATCCCCATGGACCATCACCATCCTTCTTTTACCCAACAATTGCGGAAAAGATATGGTTACCCATTAATCAAATAATAAAGTAGTGGATCCTATTACAGTGACAGGACGTACCTACAAATTATCGTCTCGAGAAATTCTATTAATAAGCACAAAATGGGATTAGATTAAAACAAGAGGTATTTATTTTTATAATTGTTTGTGTATAAAATTTTAAAATCTTTATTTTACAATATAGGGTCCAAATATAATCATATCTATATCGGCTGCCTGCTTACATATCGCCCCAGGACATCATTCTTGGTTATACTCAATTGATTTTTTAATTTTAATCACGATACTATTCATATTTTTATTAATACATATTATAAAAAAATATTAATATAACGCCATCTATATTGCATTTTATTATTTATAAAAATAATACAAAATAAAATAGAAAAAATAAAAATAGCTATCGAGATTTTTTTATTAAATCGTTTAATATAAAGGTAATAAACATTTTTTAGTGAATATTAACACCTCAAAAAAAATCCCTTCCTAACAATGTTAATTTTTTTATTTTTACCGGAAATAAGAAAACACTTGAAATTTTTTAATTTTTTTTTATATATTTTCCAACGTAAAATTTTAAGGGCTATAAAATGATATACAATTTGTAACTCTACCTTAAATATTTTTTAAAATAACAAGATTTAATGAAATCACGCAATTCGCGATTTTCGACTTTGAAGGCGTATATCTTTGGATCTGGTTGAGCTAGCACTCTAAAATTTTGATTTTCTTAAATAAAAAATAATAACTAACATGCCAAGTTTCATTCATTTTTTGAGATGGTCGGCCGAATCGTTGGTAGATTTGTCATGGACTTACCCTTGTGTCAAACATTTCCTTACTACAAGTTTAATAAATGTCAATATAAAACCGTATAAGATATGAAGGATTTGGAATCAAAGTTGGGCGAATACATAGTTATGGGGCAACCTAGAAGCCATAGGCCTTGGAAAAAAATCGTGATTATGGTTGAAGGTGTTTACAGCATGGAAGGAACCATAGTTAATCTACCCGAGGTGATGAGACTTAAACGAAAATACAAAGCGTATCTCTATTTAGATGAGGCCCATAGTATAGGCGCCTTGGGGCCGAACGGAAGAGGAGTCGCTGATTATTACAACATTGATCCCAAAGAGATCGATATTATGATGGGAACTTTTTCAAAAAGTTTTACCTCCGCTGGGGGTTATATAGCAGGATCAAAAGTTTTTTTTTTGAAATTCATTTACAAAAATATTTTACATGTCTCGTTTGAAAATACATTTATTTATTTTAATTCGATCTTCTAGTATATTAGTTTGATCGTTTTATAGTCATTTTTAAATTAATTATTATAAATCCATAGAATGGAGTGCAGTAAAACGTAAAAACCCTATAATATATTTTCCTATTTTTATTATAATTTTGAATTTTTCAGAGTTTAATAAATCATATAAAAGAACATTCTCATTGTGCATCATACGGTGTTGGTATGTCAGCGCCCATTGCTCAACAAATAATAAGTAGCATGGAAGTCATTATGGGGTCGGATGGTACAAAAGATGGTAAGTTTATTGAATATTAATATTACATAAACTATTTCAATATACACCATAAATAATGAAGGAGTCGTAAGAATCATGAATTTGAAAAATAATTCTAAATATCTGAGGAGCAATTTGATTAGCATGGGATTTCATGTTATAGGCGATGATGATTCGCCCGTAGTTCCAGTTTATCTTTATTTTGCCACAAAACTTTCGTAATTATAACGACGAGATGATATCATATCTAACATTATTTTTTTTAAACAACAATTTCTAGATCATTTTATAAAGAAATGTTGAAGAGAGGAATAGCATGTGTCATTGTTGGTTTTCCCGCAACTTATATTATAGGTGCTAGAGTTAGATTTTGTTTATCAGCTGGACATACGAAAGAGATGTTAGACAAAGTTTATCTTAACTTTATTATTGAATTGTAAATATTTCTATTATATTTTATAAAAACACAAGTGCTTGAAAGAAATTGACGAAGTTGGGGACTTATTATCAATAAAATATAAATTACAGAGATCCTTTATGCCTATCAACCTTTGGAACAAAAAAAAATATATGTGATTAAATTATTTATACAAATTTTTGTTTATATAAGTATTATACTGAAAACAAGCCAATTAGATTTTTTTTTACTACATTTGGAGAAAAATTGCTAAAATGTACGAAAAAAAAATATCCACTCATTTTGTAAACGTAAAAGTTGCTTTGTTACGTGTTTCATTTTTTTACATAAGTTTTAAGAATTTGTAATTTATTTTATATTCTTTTTGGATTAATATAAAATTAAAAATTGATAACAAATTTAGTTTGACAAAATAAGGTAACCTTTGAGCGAATTTAGGAAATAGATTCAGTTATTTTTTGTAGGCTTTCCAATGTACATCATTGATTTCGTCAGTGATATATCTTTTTTCCAACTTTTTGTTCCAATTTTCTCAAACGTTCCTATGTCCTATAATTTCTAATGTATTATAAAATATAGTGTAAATAATGTACTAAATAATATTCATAAGTAAAGGTGTTTGGATAAATCATTTTTAAAGACCGATCCGATATTATCGATTTAATTTTTAATAGCATTTATTGGAAATAATCTGTAGAGAATAGAATCCAAGAAAGTTTCCCTAAAATAAAAAATAGTGTAAATGGGTATTCCAAATGCCCATTAATCCCTTATTTTGATATATTAGATGGGCCAATTAAAAAATATCGGCCTATTTACAATATTTAAAAAAAAATTGGTAATTATGTAACTTGTAACCAAGGGTGCATTAACCATTTGTTGACAGAATATCTTAATTCTAATTTTAATGAATTATCGATCAAATCCCTGACATCGTTACTAATATTTTCACATGTGTTATGGGGGGTACATAAAAGCCGCATTTTGAATCTGATCATTAATATCTTCTTCGTTAAAAGGGAAGGTAGCTGTTTGAAAAAATATGTAACAATGTACGATAATACAAATTATTTGCATTTTTTAAAACTCTTGGGGGGTAAATTAAATTTTAAAACGCAATTACCTAACATATATTATGACTCCCACTGACCACATATCTAATGACCGATTATAGCCTTGATTTTTTTAACACCTCGGGCGCTAAAAATATATTATACAATATATATTTTCTGTTTAATTAAACCAAGATATGCTGGCGTTCCTACGATAGATCTTCTAAAAGATTTTACGCCAATAATTCTCGCGAATCCAAAATCACACAATTTAACCTTTATATTAACGTTATTTGTCAATAAAAATGTTAATATACTTGTGGGAAATCTATGTAAGAATGTATGAAAATTTTGGTCATGATAAATTATATTTAAATTTACAGTTTTGAGGCGAGATTTTGTTATATATAAAAAGCAGTGGCGTCGCTAGGAAGCCTTCTTAAAAATTTGAATAGCCCCCTGAAGCAAATTTTTTTTAAAATTACTCCTTAATATCCTATTGAACTAAAAATTATTTTTTTTTACTGAACGATTTCTTTTATAATTCTATTGAGTAATATATAGATTTAATTTTATTATTTAAAAATTAATAAAACTATCTAAATTTTTATTGAATGAATACTATTTAAATTATTAGATTAGAATAATACATATAAATTATATGTTCACTATGTCAGCTTGCAATCAAATTCTGTGTTAAAAATATATCAATATCACTCACTAAATATTAATTTAGCATTATCAGTTGAAGCTTAATTGACTTTTATTATTTAAATTATTATATAACCTTAATTAAATAAATCATTTATTTATTGAAAATTAACAATTTTAATATTGTAATTAGCCGAGTTCAAAATCATTAATCAACTAAATTTTGATTTAAATTTGATTATCATGTCTCTTCCTAAAATTATTTTCAAGGTCCAAATCTAAATGAGTATAAGATATTTATTTATAAAAAGTAGGTAGATAAATAGATTGTAATCTTTTATAATATATAATTATTTATGAAATTAGGTAAAATGCAACTTTTACAGACATATTTGACAGTTATATAATATATTATAATTAATAATAAATTTTGATTATAAATATAAGTAACAATTTGCATTCAATTATTTAACGCCATCTTATTAAATTTATTATTAAACTTATTATTTATCCCACAATGGATTTAATAAATTGGATTTTTTTTCTTCTCTTTTTTTACATGTTTTTAGAAAATCTATTTTCTTCTATGAAAAACAGTTTTGAGTTAAATTTTTAATACGAATATATTTTTGATATTATTACAATCTACTATTATTTTAAGATAGATATAATATATAAAATCTAATTACTTTCATTATATCACTCTGGTTCTTATTTTATAGTTACAAAATGTTTCATGTCTAATATGGCATCCTTGCAGTGTAAATAACTCAAAACTTCAATATATTTGCATAATTTATTCTAGAGATTTTTACTGTTTTTGTTTTATCAATTTATCTAACATAATAAATTCTGATATGGGTTACCATCGTGAGTATCATAGATATGACTACAAATTAACTAGCATCTATTATTTGTGTGGCTATGTAATTTAAGATAATTACTATAGCTGCTGAGAGCATATGATTGCATGTTTTAGATAAGCAATAATGGTCAACTGTGTAGTCGTTTATATATCATTAAAAATGGAAGATAATCTTTTAGAAATTTTAATATCTCACAAAAATTTTATCGATTACTTTTCTAGCTTCCATTTATGTCATCTAAGAGGAAGCTCTAGCCACTATATAGTTTTATGATTTGGATTAGTCGTTTATATTCTCTTCTTCAAGAATTATTGATTTGGTTAGGCCTATAAATTTTCCTTTATTAATCCATTCTATAAAACATTATCTAAAATCGTAATAGAGAGTTATATTAGTTTCATGACCTTTTGTCAATGTAACTTGCTAGAATTATAGAGCCTTATGTGGTTTTTAAAAACCATTATCAATTGAGGCATATGTATGATCTAATTAACCTTTTTTATCACTTGTAATTCTTTACGCAAAATTTTTTTATATCAGCAATCGAAAATATTTTATACTGTAATAAATAGATTTTGTATTAAAAAATATTATTTTTAGAAATGTCTTGTATTGTTTTAATTATTTATATACTAGTTTATTCAGTATGCAAAATATTAAAAATTCAGAATAATTGTGTAGAGTTAGCATATTTTAAAAATGTATAATATATTAATATAAAACCCGGCCGAAAGAGGGCCCAGGGCCCGCAAATTGTGGAGCCCCCCATAAAAAAATTTTCTGAGGCCTCTGAGATTGTAAAGGCTAGCGACGCCCCTAACGAAAAAGATACAATTTACTTTTTTAAGACATTATTTTTGACCTTGACATTAATAAGAAAAACAAAATTAGCTTATATACAGTTCAATAATATCAACAATTAATACTTTTCAGACTTTGGATATTTTTTATTCGCTAATAATATATTTTTGCAAATTCATCATAAAAAATAAAATCACTACCATACTTGTTATTTATATTCTATCAAATCTAACCCAATTTTCAAATTTGCCTCATCCCTTTCCCTACAACTTTTAATTAACAAATCACCAATCTATTAATATATATATCATTGACAATCCAACATGTATAGATTTATTTACTGTAAATTTTAGACAATTTTGCGTAGAACATTTGAAGTAATCTTCAAATTAATTTTTATGTAGATTTTTTTTATATAAAATAAATTTTAAAATACGCTAATGTTTATGGCTAGCTGAAATTTATAGGGAAAAAATTCAACACGTGTTAGAATGCATTTCCAATCAAATCAGATTAATCTTTCTCAGTAAATAATATAAAATTCTGAGATTATGAATCTTCCAAATCCCAATTAGAAGTGCGTGACACGATGGAGTCATGGCTGAGTGAAAATTTTTTTAATTATTAGGCATGAATAGGAAAGCGAGATATTCCCGAAATTTTTGCCTGGCGTGATTGGGTATGGATTACCCGTGTATCATGGAAATTTTAAAATTATAAATTGTAATTTATAAATTGCTAATTTAATTTGACAAAATTTTGCATTTTATTAACAATATCCCCTCCTCCCGTCTTATAAAATTTCAAATGACTGAAAAATATTTTAAAGCCTCTCTACTCTCGTTCAGCAATAAAAATTTGGCAATAAATTTAATTTAAATATGTTTTATTTTCATTTATCTTTAATATATTAATCATGCTGTTAAATTACAATCAGTCAAAATTGAAAGAAAAATTTAACATCTTTAATAACTTATTTCACATATTTAACTTAGTAATTTAATATAATATAGCTTTAATAGTATTGGTATAGAAAAGGATAGTGCAATATTTTGAGCAATCTGCAGCAAACAGCAGCAAGCTAAGACATTCTATTAACCAAGATATAATAAAGAGATAGAACCGAGTATATATCATGATACATAGTTTCTTAAATCCATATGATTAAATAGTTCATTTACTTAACAAAAAAGAAATTAAATATAATATCGACACTTGATATAAATATCACACCCCAGTTAGACAATTTTCTATCAATATTCAAAGATTGCTCAGATAATCTGAGAGCATATTCTCATCCCGTTATAAATGAAGTTTATTTATGGAAACAAAAATTAATGAAATTTTGTAAACCTTCAAAAGTGAATTCAGTAATAATAAAAAATATCTCTTTTAAAGGAAATATTTATTATGGCAGCCTGCTACATATAAGGTAGGCTTAATTCTATAATCTATATCTAAATTTTAAATGTCTTAAGTTTTTTAACAGACAATGAAAAGGTAGATATATATATATAATAAATGAACTTTAAAAATGCAGAATAATTTAAAATTTGACGATATGCATAAGACAATGCCAACAATTATCATTTTTAATTTTTCTGATTCATCCTGCGCTCATAAGAGAAAACAGTATATTTTCGGCTTTTTATGAATGAATTGTCAGTCTAGGTATTATTATATGTCATTGTCTCCAGCTGATTTCAATTGATACATGCTTAAAATGCATTTTAATGAATGAATTGTCAGTCTAGGTATTATTATATGTCATTGATATTTTCTAAATAAAACATTTAGAGAGTTTCTAAATTATTCTGCTGAAGTGAACATATCTACCGATCAAAGTAGTGAGGATAAACCAAGAGGACAAATAACAATGAAAATATTTTGAGTTTTTAGAAGCAGTTAAATTTATTTCCTTTTTAGAGAGAAAAATTTGCTAGTAAAATTTTATCAATTTCGGGAAGTTCCGCTTCCGGCAAAAGATTTTTTTATTTTAATAGAGGAAGGAAAGACAAATAAAATTTAAAAAAAAATATGACCATTCTTTTAAAAAAAATGATTAACAAATTGGTCATTATTATGGAATTAATGGTTAGGGTTGATTCGCCTTACAAAATATTATGATGGAATATATTCAAAAAAAGGCATAAAAGTAAGGAATCAAGTTTTGAAAATTTTTTAGAAAAAAATATTAAAAATACCGCGAATTATTTCTGGCAGGATCAAAATATTGTCCTTCAATTTTTTATAGCGTTAACCGTGAAAGGGCGTGAAATTATTTTTAGTTACCATATTAACGCAATTATAAACTATTCCCAAAATATTTGTAATATTAGTTTACTATTCCAAAATTGTTTCCAGTCAAAAAGATTTTTTTATAATGTTTTACCTTATTTTTTATGCCAAAATAAAATATAAAAACTGTTGCAATTGTGTATATTTACATTATATATAACTTTATATAATATCCAATATCAATCAAATTATGTATATTCATAGATTTTATATTTAATTGTATACAATATCATATGACCAATCTTATAAGTTATGCTTGTTAAATACCATAAGAAGAATGTCAATCAATTTTTATTAATAGGAAATAAGAATGAAATTTTGATTCCCTTTGTGTAAGCTAAAAATAAAGTGATGGTTAAAAATTGTATATTTAATAAATTAAATGTGTTGTGAGTTATTTATATTATTTAATTATGTAATTATTAGATTTATTTTACAAACCATTTTTCATATTTTCTTTTGATTATAAACTTAAATATGTTAATTAAATATATTTTACAAATTATTTATAGGTAGAGTATAAATTATTTATAAACATTAATATAAATCTTTCTTAATTTATCTTTAAAATAAATATAAGAATCTTTTTTTAAAAAATAAATTTTTTTTTTTGAGAATATAATAATTTTCAATGTGAATTACCCTGGCAATTAAATCATGCGTATTTTTGACAATTCAAAGATAAAAGGATACAAGTATTTTCAAGATTTTTATAAATCAAAAACGATTGAAA